TCATTGGAGAATAGTAGCAAATAAGATACTGAAAACATCCACCTCAATTCCAATCACGGCTGGATACAGACAGCTTCTTAATAGAAGTGGCGAGTAGGATGTGGGGCATAGCCCATTGCTTTGCAATACTTATATTGTTGTATTAATAAATAACGGAAAAAATAATTATTACCTCATCATTATAAATAAGGCTCTACTTATTAGAAAGATCAAGTGTTTGGTCCCAACCTTTTCTGATATATAGAGGGTCTTCTTTTGCTCTAGTTAAATCAATAACAATAAATTCTCTACCTTGCAAATTTTTATCAAGTATATCGACAACATCGCGCCATTTTTTTGTATATCGTCGGGCAATGTTAACTAGCTCATCATAGGTACCACTACCATTGAAGAGAACAATATAATCGAGATTTTTTCTTATTAGTTTTGGACAGTCAAAGAAGGATTGTGTAGTATATATATTACTAATGTTTTTATGACGCCCTTCAGTAAAGTAACGAGCAATTTTTTCTTGTATTTTTTTAGGTTCGGTACACACATCTTCGAATATAGCAACTGTTCCTCTTTCAGGAGAGAAGTCATCAACTTTTGGCATTTTGTTGGGTTTCAATGCTCGGAATGTAATATCTTCACGATATGGCTTTGGGCTATTTGAAATTATTTGATAACAATCATGCAAATGTCTATATTTCGGTTCCTTGAGATGATGTCCGATCAAAACCAAATCATCATTCTTAATATATCTCGTTCCACCTTTTTTTCCGCTAAACATTCAAAACATCTTATCCCCAAGTAAGAGACTAATAATCATATTTGTTTTTCCAGATCTAGTTCACCCACTGACTAGTAAATTAAAAGGCCACTGAGGACATGAGTTAAGACTATTGAATCTTTTTGGATTTTTGTATTCATCGATATTAAGTACGAATATTTCACACGGATCAAGTTTTTCTACTTTCATTCTGGTTAAAATAAGCAGTACCAATTATTATATTGAAAAATAATGATCTATATTGCTATATGCATATATTCACCAGATTTTTTATTCTGATAATTCATAGATTCGAAGTTGTAGGTCAACTTGCACAAATGTTATACTTATGAATTTATTCTTTATGTGACAAATAACCCCTCTTTTGTAATTCACTTTTGATATAGGAAAACAAATCTGTATCATAGCTAATTTCAATGAGATCTATGCCTTCTCTTTTGCATATTTCCCGCTTTGTTTGATCACGTGCTCTTTGTGAATATAAGTCACCTTGATTTTTGTGATATAAACTATTGTGATAAAAATGCTGGACTCCATTATACTCCCACGCCATTTTTAGTTCTTCGTTATACCCATCGAGCCTCAATCCACCCAAGAATTTTGGTGCGCATGGTGGGAACTTTTTACCCAGTAAATCCTCAAAAATATATCGACAACTCCTTTCACGGGTATGTGGGCAAATTGGGCACCATTCAAATTTTGTAGCTATTAACGGATATGGATATTCAAACTGATGGAGACTATCTTTACATGACCAAAGATATACATTCTGATCATTGATTCGTCCAGTTTTAGTTAAAATATATCCACCACGTTTCGAGGCATATTGTTCTGCTATATTAAATTCATTATTGGAAACACGAATAAAATGTATTAATCTAGAGGGGTGATATTTTCGTATAAATTCATCGGGTGGATATTCAACTTTTTCAGGATTCTCAATGATTTGAAGTTCTTCTCTCTTAAATGGCCAGTGTGGATTGCGACCCATCAAATGAGCGATAGATTCAATGGGCTGGTCTTCTAGGTAATATAAGACAGGTTGTGGTGGATTCTTACCAACAATAACTTTTGCAATTTTATAAATATGCAACGAGAAGTATGGATCAGTTTTTCTATGCATGTGTCCTCCTTCTAATTCACCCGGTTTTAATAAATACCTTACAGTTGTTCCTTTCTGTAATCGCAGTTCATCTTTTCCGAAAGGTCTCTTAGGTTTGATAGATACTTTGGGAATTACTTCTCGCAATCTCATTGCATATGATAGCATATACCTATTAATTGCGTTTTATTGTTATTCATATAGTCGATAATTTTCCGAAGTATCTTGTTCCATAATTTTGAGCATTCACCTTCTTTGAGTTTTCCCTCTATGGCATATTGAATTTTGTATATAAGTCTAGCCAAATCTTGTTTGAATTTTTTAACTAATGCTAAGCTCTCAAAGCTATAAAGATCGACAACTCTTATAGGAACATTATATCGCTCCATTCCTTTCGCAAATGATCCTTTAAATTCACCAGCACCATC